TGTATGTATAATATTTCAAAATATACTATTTTATCATATAAAAATAAAAATAAAAAGCTAAACATATAAATAAATGCAACATACAAAAATGATAAATTATTAGGTATAAAAGCATTACTTTTTCCTACTCATAATTATTTTCAAGTAGCCATTTGTAGTACCTGAATGGAGAACTTTCTTTCAGAGAACTTCTGGGTTTCTTAAAGTTAATAAGCTCTTTTCTAGATATTTGAAAATTCAGTAACATGACTCTAGTTACTCCAGGTATTAGAATAAGAAAGACCAAGGAAATCTCTATTTTTCATCCTTTTGTTGGGTGTGAATGAAATGCAGTTTCTTCTATGTACTATATTACTTTCACTCATTTTAGAATCAGTGCTATTTTCTATTGTGACAGGTCAGATCATTCTTTCTGAACAAATGAAACTAAATAAAGATTTTCTGATTCTGAGATATGTAGAAGACATTGTTGTTTCTCCTTGTTTGGGAACTCAGTATTAAAATCCCAGTTTTAAACAAAACACACATTCACATAAAAGTTTTCTTAGAGTTACTGCTTGAATTATCCTTTTACATGAAAACAGGACTCAATTCAAGTTCCCTATTTTTGTCAGCAATTTTCCAACGTAAAAATGTCCCATGTGATACATAGCATTAAGCAATGATATAAAGATTGTTTACGTAGCACTGTGCTTTTCAATATAATAACTAGTAGCTATACATGGCTATTTGCATTAATTGAAATTAAATAAAATTAGAAATTCAGTTTCTCAGTTTTACTAGCTATCTTGTCAAGAGCTCAGAGGCCACACTTGGTTATTAATTGCTATATTGGACTGCATAGATTTAGAACATTTTTAGTCCTGTTCGTTCAATAGTGCCCATTTGAGGACAATCTGACTGGTTGTTTTGTAATCATTGGCTTTGAAATGAGACAAGTATGCTGCAAATCTTGGTTCTTCTGTTTACTGTGTGATCTTGGACAAAAATTTGAAATTTGATGAGCCCTAATTTCTAATTGCTGTTACTGATCACAAACTCCTGGGCTGAAGTGATACTCTTACCTCAGTCTCTCAAGTAGTTTGTGAGTACAGGAGCATACCCCTGCACCTGGCTCTCATATTTGCTTTTATTTTTTTAAATATTTATTTCTTTTAGTTGTACACAATGCCTTTATTTTTATTTATTTATTTTTATGTGGTGCTGAGGGCCTCTCAGGAGCCAGGCAAGCACTTTACTGCTGAGCCACAACCCCAGCCCCTCTCATATTTGCTTTTAAATAAGTACGATGAATACATTCATTATGGAAAATTTATGAAAATGAATAACAGTTGTTGATTTTTAAAGGATAGCCTTACTACTATTGAACTAGAACTGATGAGGAATAAAACAATAGCGATTGTAAAGGTCCTTGAGAAAGATCTCTATCCAATCAGTAGCTACTCAATTGTTACCTTATGCTGGGATGGTTATGTTGATTGAATTGAGTCACTCATGTTTTTTTTTTTATATCAAAGTTAGCTTAGAATCAAAGAGATGATTATTAGCAATATAATTTTTCAATTAATAGAAAAATTCATGATGTGGAGACCTCTTCAATTTATGGTACCAAGGAAATTTAATTGATGTATTTTCAAAAGAGGGCAAAAGTCATGCCCAAAACAATAATTTGAGAAATGCTTACTGAAATTGAAATCTAGCACAAATAATGACAAACTTCAGGATTTCAATATTAATTTTAATTAGATGAAATGATTTTAGCAGAGAATAGCCATGCTCCTTCATCATCTATTCATTCCCTTTTCCTTTTGTAGGAAGACCTTTATATTTCATCTGGACGCATTATCATAATTATTAGCTTCCTTTGAAGCCAGCTGTGGCTCTCTAAATTTTGCCAATATGATGCGAGCAGGAGTAATATGTGAAACTGTCTTTTTCTTCCCCTTTTTTTCAGGGTCCTCGTGAGTGAAGATAAACCTCAAGTACTGGCAGAACAACCAAAAAGCAGGAGTCTTAGGCTTTAGCACTCTGTTATTCCTCAGTTGCTAATGTTCAGATACATACATGAAAGACATTTATATCTTGTCATATTGAATTTTGTGGTAGCAGTTAATACAACAGAACTAATGCAATGATTAATAGAACACAAAAATTAATACAATGGAACTAATATAATTATTCATACACTACTGGGGTATAGTGGAGAAATAATGAATTTGTTTTTCAGATTTTAAAATGTATCTACCATTCTTGTTCCTTGTTAATTTCATTGATTATTAATGAAAGAAAATTGTTTTATCTAATACAACTTCATCTAATACATCTAATCAAGATAGATTTGCTTTATGCATATGTATAGATAAAATTCTTTTTTAGTTTAAAAGTCTTTTACATTAATTATTCTAATTAGTCTTTGCACAAATTTCAAGAGAAATTATCATCTTCTTTACTTTGTATTGAAAGAAATGGAGACTCAGAGAAATTGAGTGACTTACAAAATACATACGTAGCTAGCAAGTAGGAGGGTTGAGACCAAAACTCAGAGATGAAACCTATTAATGAATCCAACTAATATGTAATGACATTTGTGTGTTTCTGTAAGTGAATTCATGGTTGTGAATTAGAACTGTTATTTTGGGGTGGAAATATAGGGATCTTTCTAATGTGGAGATCATGGGTTCTATCTCAATAGTTAATGTGCTTGAAAGACTGCTTGGCGTGACTATCTTAAAAAAGGATCCTGTGTCAATTGATATAAATTCTATTTCTGTCCAAAACTTTCATAATTCAACTTGCATTTTAAAGACCTTGAGAACTTCCATTGTAAAGAGGCCTGATTAACTTGAACTTATTTGTTTAAAATTATTCACAAAACCCCCACTTTTATGTACATATTAGCACACAACACTCTTTAAGAAGTCTTCCCTTAATATTGATCAGTTCATCTCCAGTCAGAGATGTATAATAGTGGTCTAAAACTTGAAGGCATTATACACAATAATTTAGTGAGTTTCTTAAACCATAGTCATATACCCACAAAGATACTTAGGGATTTGAGGTATGTGGGAAGCAGACAACTCGTTCTTTCTTGGACTTTTATGGACCCCAATTCTTGGAAAGTTCTTTTTTTGGACATGGCAATACCAATTATTCCACAGGGAGGTTGTGTCTGCTATACATACAGTTCTGGATTGTTATCCTTTTTATATTTCTCTGACTCAGGATAAGGCAAATGGGTTTCAGGTTGCTGGATGGGAAAGTCTTATAATTATATGTACACTACATAGGGTTATGAGAAAGGACACTATAGTGATCATGGGAAATGTCAAAATATTGTAAAAATTTCCCACTTTTTAATCACTGAGGCAAAATAACAATTCTGCTTTAAGAGAAATGAAAACTTATTTTGAGCCAAGTGTAACTGACCATGGCCCAGGAATATGGATTCAAGTTTCCCTGAATTGAAGTATTTCACCATAGAAGAGTTTATATGAACTTTTATAGTCAAAGAACAAAGAAAGTCATAGATTAATACATTCAACAAATACTTCATGGGGAAACTAAGTAAGTGGGCTACGGCAAAGTGGGAAAATCTTTCTTATAGGTATCAGAAGCATTGTTAGCTTCAGGGTTGGTGGAACCTAGAGCCCAAACTTAGTATGTTCCAAGAGGTTTACGTAAGAATTATGAGAAAGTCAGATCCCACTTCTTCCTCCCTTCCATAGTCCCTGACAACTACCATTCTACTGATTCTATGTGTTTGATTATTTTAGTACCTCATGTAAATTGGAACATGCATTCTTCTGTAATTGGCTGGTTTTTTTTTTGGCATGATATCTTCAACATAATCCATGTGGTTGCAGATTCAGGATTCCCCTAAATTTTAAGGCAGAATATTGTATACATATACCACATTTTCTTTATTGACTCATCTTTTGATAGATTAAAAGGTTAAAGGTGAATGACCATTTTCTTTTTTTTAAGTTAAAAGGCTTCCTTTATTACATAAGCCAGTAACTGCTACTTCTAAGTTCAACTGTGCATCTCTACATTTTTCAAAGTGTCATGCCTGTGATGTTAATGACAATCACTTCCAAGTGTCATTGGGTGGTGGCTCCCTATGAATTTCATCCATGCACCCCACTCCACACAGTCAACAAACTGCTCTAGGAAATTTGGTTCTCCCAGGTTCCAGAGGAAACATATTCAGTGTTCTTCTACATCTTATTGAATCAGATGCAGCAAAGCTCTGAAGGAAACAGATACTGCAGGTGTCCTAGCTTATCAATATACTGTTTTATCATTTTCATGAACAAAGCAGATTACAATGGAGCCCTAATTTGCATTATAATTAGTTGTTGGGAGACAATGCACCTTCTCCAGAAGACATACCATGATTTCCAAGATACAAGGTCACTCTCAAAACAGTATCCCAACTAGTGGGCTGCAAGTTCACCTCAGGTACAAGGAAGGGCTGCTTCCTCTTTTTCAATGATGTGATTGAAACAGTGCTTTGCAAGATCTGCATGAATTACACGTGGACAATTTAATAGTCTCCATTACACATTAAGTAGAATTCAAAGACTGCCTTAGTCTTACTGTTAATTAGTGTATTAGTGTTATTACATGTTATAGCAAAAATTATATCCCATTATTCTGTTTAAGTCAAGGAAGAATAGAGAATTAAAAATAATTTGGGACCAAAATGATAATCAGATTATCACCAATTCTCTAACCAAAAAAACCCCAAAGTAACTGCTAAGGTTAACAAACATACAATAATTCTCGTCACATGGCTTTGTACTGTTTTGTGAAATGCATCATTAAAATTCTTGAGCTTACAAAAATTTTTAAAAGTCAACTCATCAAAACAGACGTTTGGCCAATAAAAATTTAATTTCGTACCAATAAGCCTTTTAGATTCTAAATTTATTTAGGGTTGTGTTTGCACATGTTAATAGAATGTTTTGTTTATTTTAAAAGATGACAAAACAGCTCCCCCTCAGTGAGACCCTGGCCTAAATATATTCACTTTCCTTACATAGCAAGAGGATAACATTGAACATGGAAGCTTTCAATTTGTGGCACTGAATGATCACCTACACAGGGCATCCTTCAAAAGCTACAATTAAAGATCCACCTAGCTTTTCAGCAATACAAGCCTGATTGAGGTCTTCTGGCCCATTTGCTTGACATTCATGTTTTATGCCTTGGAATTTCTTTTTGATTGCATCCTTGGAGCTTGCATAGATCATTTTACTTTTCAGAGGTGCCAATTCTGGTGCCCACAAAAAAACATCAATTCTTCTTTTCTGGATTCCTTGGTTTCAAAGCTTGCATCATACAAAGCATAATGACAATCTTTTTCAGGAAGCATTCCCACAAAATGCTTGAAAGGATCGGTTATGGTAACACCAACATTTCCAACCAAGATCTCTTTGCCTTCTTCAACAATGATGCACTTTTTGTCTGCACTGAGAAAAAAAATGACAGCCTTCTTTCTTTTCTTGATTTCTTCTGGCGTGGAGTACTTCCGAACTTTCATGTCATAAAAAATGTGACATACTTCATCAGCCACTTGCACTCCTGAGGCCATTTTCACTGCAGCTGACGGAAGGATGCAAGGGAGGAAGCCGACCAGCACCGAGTCTGCGGAACGTCCTATTTGCAGAAGCGAGACCAAGAGACCCAGCCGAATGACCATTTTCTTAAGGGCTTAAGATAGCCCAAGATATTTTTTGTTTGTGACCTGAAATATTGCATCTCTCCACAGAGGTCACTCAACAAAAGTCACTCTAGAGGGTGGTTAATATAGATGCAGCTTCTTTGGAAAACCTTTGCTTCCATATATACAGGAAAAGACCAAAAGACCACTAGTTCCTTTCAAAATTCTCCAAACTTGGAAATGCTTAATGGCGTGATTTTAGTTTATTAGATACTTGATGTGTTATTTACAGATTAGGTTTGTCACCACCAAAGAACATGGAATTTCTGCATTGTAATCTTAGGTAGAGTACATTGAAACCAACCTGCATGATGAAAGAAAACAAAGATAAAAGCACATGAAAATTGTAATTATTTATTACTGTCCTTTGCTGTAATGGGAAGTACATGGCAATAACCATGTGTATTTCAGCTAGAGACAGGTCTGTGAAATATTCCCTGTGAAGTTTCAATTTAAGCTTATAGATTAATAAAAATAGTCCTGAATTGGAATAAAGTGGCTTAGGGTTTAATACCAGTAAGTAATCCAAGAAGACCAACGACATTAATAAATAATTCTTAGAAAAATAAGGAGCCACTTGTCAAAAGAAATGAACTTTATTTTTAGAACCACACACGCCAAACAAAACTGCTCCTCAGGAAAAACCTTCAGAGCCCAACTGCCACCAC